TTCATTTTTTTTAGTTAAGCAATGGAAGTAGACACAGTTGCATTAATCTGTAGTGGCAAGTGTTGTAATGTTAACACCTTTCGTACTCCGTTGTTCTCGTGTGTACTGAGTACTTCTTGCAGGGCTGAGCATCTTGACAGCAGATAATACAATTCTGTGCTTTCAGCTTTCCACATCTGATTTGTTTGGAGATTCCCCTTATTGCTGCTGAGGTATCTGTTACCACCTTACTACCACCTACTTAAAGACTACCAATAAATGTTTCAGGAAGATATCCATCTGTCCTGCTCACATGGGCAAAACCTAATGTTTGTTCTGTAACCTCCTCATTTTTTATTTTAAACAAGGAAAGTAAATGAGAGTAGGGGAAAAAAAGGTCTCTCCTAAACCAGTAAAAGAAAGAGATGGCATACGGTATACGTGAATACACAGCTTTCATTTGTCTTTCCTGCAAGCAAGCACAGTAATGTATGTTACCAGGTAAATCTTTGAAACAGAACCTGTAGAAAAGTGAGACTAAGGAAGTATATTGGGTTTGCACAGCAAGATTTTGAGAGCAGTGGAGGCTACAGGGGTGCCTTCTGTGAGAAGCTGGAAGAAGCTTCCTCCGTGTCCGATAGAGCCAATGCCAGCCACCTCCAAGATGGATCTGTCACTGGCCAAGGTCGAGCCCATCAGCGATGGCGGTAGTGCCTCTGGGATAACATAGTTAAGGAGGGATTAAAAAAAAACCAACTGCGCAAGAGAAAACTGCGGATGGAGAGAGAAGTAAGAATATGTGAGAGAAATAGCTCTGCAGATACCAAGGACAGTGAAGAAGGAGGGGAAGGAGGTGTTCCAGGTGCTGGAGCAGATATTCCCCTGCAGCCCATGGTGAAGACCATGGTGAGGCAGGCGGTCCCCCTGCAGCCCATGGAGGTTAATGGTGGAGCAGAGATCCACCTGCAGCCCCTGGAGGACCCCACATTGGAGCAGCTGGATGCACCTGAAGGAAGCCTTGACCCTTTGTGAAGCCGGCACTGGAGCAAGCTCCTGGCAGGACCTGTGGCCCCATGGAGCAAATTGCCCATGCTGGAGCAGGTTTGCTGGCAGGACTTCTGACTCCATGGGGGACCCATGCTGGAGCAGTCTGTTCCTGAAGGACTGCACCCCATGAAAGGGACCCACACTTGGAGCAGTTTGTGAAGAACTGCAGCCTGTGGGAAGGACTCATGTTGGAGAAGTTTGTGAAGTCCCAGGAGTAGGGACCCTACGCTGGAGCAGAGGAAGAGTGTGAGTAGTCCTCCCCCTGAGGAGGAAGGAGTGGCAGAAACAGTGTGTGATGAACTGACTGCAACCTCCATTCCTTGTCCACCTGTGCCTCTTATGGGGGAGGAGGTAGAGAATTCGCGAGTAAAGTCAAGCCTGGGAAGAAGGGAGGGGTGAGGGGAAGGTGTTTTAAGATTTAGTTTTAGTTCTCATTATCCTACTGTGATTTGATTGGTCATAAATTCAACTAATGTCTCTAAGTCAAGTCTGTTTTGCCCATGACGGTAATAGGTGAATGATCTCTCCCTGTCCTTATCTCAACCCACAAGCCTTTGTTATATCTTCTCTCCCCTGCCCTGCTCAAGAGGGGAGTGATAGAGCAGCTTTAGTGGGCACCTGGCATTCAGCCAAGTCAACCCACCACAGGAAGACACAGGCTTTAAGCATCATTGTAAAAGTTTAATAAAAAAAACCCAAAACAATAGAACTCTGTTGATATGTGTTATGAAAAATGCCTTGCAGATTAATTTCCTTGAGCTGAGAAGCTTTAAATGAGTATATTAACAATTCTGTTTTCACACTTCCATGAATTATGCTCAAATGATGCCCAATTGTTGTTAAACAACATAAAAATTTGATATGTTGTCAGTCCCATTGCACAAAGCAGTGCAGTCATTTACTCAGCCGATTTCTGGTGCAAACCCAACACTGGGGAATGGAATAACACAAACAAGGTAATGAGTTTTAAACTAATTATGAGGTGACAACAATATAATTGAACATAAGATAATGAGTGGAAAACTAAGGTGCAGCGAATGGTTTTCTCAGCCTTAGAAATTATTGTCCTTAGACTTAAAAATTACTTCTCAGATTTATTGATTTAGAGACCTCTGCCAACTGTTGAGTGGTTGAGAAAACCATTTCTATACACAGCAATGATGAACGGATGACAAACATTAATTTTGTGCTATTTTAAATCTCCCATAAATTTGCAAGAAAAGAGATCTGTGATTGTTTTGGGTGTTTAGAGCATTTCCACTTGGTCTCAAGATGTCTATATTTTTAGAAGATGGAGGCTTTGGAAAATTGTTGCCTTGCAGTTCATGCAGAACTTCCTTAACCTCTGCAGAACCTTACCGTGAGAGGTGCTCCGTGTGCCAGCGTGTTCTCTATGGTCCTGGTGTGTCAAGGAGCCCTGCTCACCTTTCCTCCGCTCGCCCTGTGTCTCCAGCTTCCCAAGGGGCCAGCGCAGTGCTGAGGCCCCGTGGCCCGGCAGCCTTGCCAGGGTCACTCCTCAAATCTGTCAAATCAGATAACTGAAAGAGAGAAGAAAGCCTGGTTTTGGTTTTCTTTTTTTCAGCTGCACTACAGCCCGTCTGAACACCAGCATAAGAGTTCAGATTAGATAAGTCTGTTTAATGCCATTCAGATGTTAGCATTGTAGCCAGCAGACATAGGTATAAAGGAATAAAAGAAAATTACAACTGCAGGCTTGCTCTAAGAGTGGGATTTTTGTTTCTTGTAATGACTGTACTGCCAGAATGCCTGCACCCCTCTTGTGGTGTGTGTTTTCAAGTCCTCTAGAAAAACCCTTGCTCTGATGCAGCTTTCATTGAAGAGACCTAAACCTTTTACTGACTAGTGCTGATCCATAACTTAAACAAGATGCTCGTTTTACCCTTACTGTCTAAAACATTGTGGATTGTCTGTGCCTAGTTTTTGGATGTGCCAGTGTCTTTGAGCACAACGTCTCTTCTGTCTAGAGATGGTAACTTTTTTTTTTCAACTATAGCCTATTTACCTTTAGCTGTAGATCTGTTGTTGACCTGTCATGATCCTTTCTACCTGAAGAGTATGCTTGAAGCTGTTGTACAAGCAGCCTGTCGGAAAGAATTAATGTGCTTTGATTCATGATTAAAATGTGACAGGAAGGTACCCAGGCAGATTTCTGGGGAGCCTGTAGGCAGGTTGATGTCTTTACCTTGAGAGAGACCATGGCACAAACCCCTGTGGCACACCTGTACGTGATGGATGTGCCTACAAAGAGAGCCTTAAGCAAGGGGCTAGTGGGAGGTGGACATCGGAGCCAGGTGAGCGTGCACGGGCCCCGTGGCATGTTGTCCCTGCTGTTGCTCCAGCTGCACGCTGGCAGCGGGAGCTGGGGGTGGCGGGGGGCATGGGCAGAGGGGGCTGCAGGCAGAAGTGCCTGGCAAGGAGGAGCAGCAGGAGAGGCTGGGGGCCCTGTGACCGCCAAGTCGTGTGCATGCGGGAGGGCAGTCCATCACTGTAATTCAACAGCTCAATATTACGCAATGTTTTCTCTCTCTGAAGTTACTTTGGGTCTATTTTTGGTTAAAAAACAAACAAACAAACCACAAGTTTTTAATGAGGTTGTTCATAAATAAATACAATATTTCTGGATTTTCTTAAATCTTATGTATATTCCCACAGATTTCTAGTGTCTTGATAAACTACATTGTGTTGTACTATCCAAAATTATTTGTAAGAAATCATGACTTGATATTACACAATATTTTAAATTGTTTTTTATAAGTGTTGAAGATAGAAGTTTGTCAAATATGAGGCTTCCAACGTTGCCAGAAAGTGTGGCGGTAGTTTTGGGAAAGGGTATGTTTTTATAAAAAGTCCTGAAGAATGTAAAGAGATGCCCAGCATGCTGCTTCTCTGAGACTCTGACACTCCATAAATAACATCTCATTGAGCTACGCATCTAAAAGGCCACCAGAGGAGATCAAACTTGGTTGTTGGGGCTATGAATATGTGTCATGGAAAATTTATTGTCTGGAGCGCTTCTCCAGTTTCTCCTTTACAAATTTACGATACTGTTAAGCATTGCCATTTTACTGCAGTTTTTGGTAATGTCAGAGAAAAAGGTAGCAGTCATTAACAACAGAGAAGATGTATAAATGAAGTATTGCCCTTTCACATGAAGGTGTTCTTGAGAAAGAACCCATTGATTTGGATTTTATTTATGTACAAGTATTTTTTACAGCTGCCTTCTACATGCGCATATGTTCCCATGCCTATTAATAAGAGATCAGTGCTTAAGTTTATGAAGCATAGGAGACATTGCTCCTCTCTTACCGTTGGAATGACTGGACAGGCTTGTAGAGGAATGAGTGATACAGGCAAGGGTAGAGCTCAGGCACAACTCCCAGTCCTTGGTCTGAAGCAGTCTCCCTCATGACACCAGGTTTATAATCAACAGAATGATTCAGAATCTTCCAGGGAATTAGTTGTTCTACAGCAAAACCATTTTGTAATCAGTAATATTTAAACGCTTTGCTTTGCTTTGTGTTGTTTTGTTTTGTTTTGTTTCCGTAGGCATTTTATCTGCTTTGGCAAGATTTTATTGATTAAAACTTTTTAGTGAATGTGTTCACAGCTATGTCGGCATATTAGAGCAACTGCTTTGAAAACATTTCCCTAAAGCCATCCTGATTTTAGGTCCCTATTACCAAGCAACGCAGTTCCTCTTGTTCAGTGGCTTATATAATCCCAGAAGGCATCTGGAGCATGTTTATGTTAAGTCAACTATGAATGCAGATGTACAGAAAAGACATGTTATTTACAAAGAACTGAGTACACTATTTGCATCAGCCTGATTTTTTTTTTTTATTACCTTCTTGGGTGTGAAATATAAATGTCCTTAATAATGAAAGAAATATCCAGTGAGATTTGTGTTCAACAAATAAATATTAAATATGTTGGGTTGTTTTTTTTCCTTTTAGATCCATTTCAGTTCCTCACCAAAAGTGAACCTGCAAAGGAACAGACAACTCAACCAGCTTTAGCCCGGAAACCCACTGTGATCCGAATCCCAGCTAAACCCGGGAAACGTAAGTTCTTCTCTCAAAAGTGTCTGAGAAATCTCTGTCAAAAAATGATTTTAACTGGGACTTACTGTTTACTAATTGAGTTGCTGTTTACTAGTTATATTAGCTGCCAAAGGAATCCCGTGGTACAGTTTGACAAGAGAGAGGAGCCAGCCTAAGGGCTGTGGTGGGAGGGAAAATAGCTGGGAGTCCTGTTCTCCTCTCCCTGCCTCCCAGCTACCTCGTCCGGCTCCCTCCCTTGTGCTAAGTTGGACGTCCCTCAAACCTTATGGAGCTAGTGCCTATCAGAGGTGAAATGGGGTGTGTGGAGGGATCTAAAGGCTGGCAGAAAAGAGCTGGAGGAGACTTTTTCAGCAGAAGAAGCTCGTTTCATCAGCTAAACCATATCACTGAGCTGTACCTTTGGTCAAATTGGCTTCTGTTCTGACATCATCTGGGGATATTTTAATGCTGCTCCCAAGCTTCCTGGGAGCAGGGCCCCCAGTTGGCAAAGGAACAACATTAGGGTATTAAACTTTGCTTCAAACACAGCTTAGTTGGGATGTAAGCATAGTTTTCACAGCTTACATCACAAAGTTCCTTTGACCCTTGTTAGATTTGAAATCTATGGCCATTTAAGCAAGTGTTTTGGTAGCAGTTGAGGGAACAAAAAAGGCAGGCAAGAACTTGGATGCAAAAAACCTGATGTGTTCAATTTTGTGTCAAGGTCTTGACTGTGGTTTTCTGATGGTTACTGTATCTTTAATGCCTTCCACCTCTAATCTTTTACAGCTTTACAAATGACACTGACAGTATCTCGGAGTGAAAAATTATCAGAGCCACAAGGTCTTTGTGTTGATCTTTGCATGCTGGAGTACATACTTGCCTTCTGGTTAGGCTTATGTTTTATCCTCAAAGCTTAGGGAGAAATGTCACAAGATAGCTCTTAAAATTCATATTTCAAAATCATGTTTTACTACGCTGAGTAGGTGTACAGCCAACTTGTAGCAACTAGATGTCCAGGTGGCTTTTCTCCTAAGACTGTCTCAGTATTTCCCGAGTTCCCTTCTCCCCTCCACACCAGCCCAGTGCTAAAATACTAAATTTTCTTTTCTTCTGCATATGTGAGAAATGCAATGGAAATGATTAAAAACACAGAGAAGACTGAAGATAAAGCTACGAGGAAAAGTCTTTCTGTTAATACATGATCATAAATAAAAGGTTTTTTCAGTTGGAAGAATACGTTTACAAACTACTGTAAGGAACCCAAGATATAATTCTTCTCTACAAAGGAAATTGTAATTTCCATTTAAAAAAAAAAAAAGAAATTTTTTTTTTCCTGAGCCGGAGTCTCTTTTGAACTTGTAGATAACCGGTCCCTTGCTGCTCTCTAGTGGTAGATGAACTTTCCACAGGAGACAGCCAGTCGTACTGTACTGAGCTACAATTGTCAGAGGGGTGTTAAGGACAGCTTTATGGGAGGCTGTGGCTGGAAGATTAATGGGCTGTAGAGGAACAGGAGCAGGTTCCAAGAAAGCAGAGTAGCATTTTGTCAGATAGGAGCTGCTGCAGAAGCGTAAGCTGTTAAAAGTTAAAAAATGAGAGGAGTACAACTGGGCCAAGGTGTAACATGGATATAGTAGGATCTACCTTGTAAGAGGGCCACATAGTTGCAGTACAAGGGGTCTTTCACCATCGTGGGTATGGAGGGAGATTAATTCTGTCAGGGACCAGCACAAACCAAAAAGAAAAACTCCAATAAACCAAATAAACCCCACCCAGCACTACCAAAAAGGGGACAGAGCTGGATACTTAAGAATTCAAACCCCAGTAAAGCACTCGTTTAGCATTAGCATTTTTGTCAAGCTCTGATTAGAAAGGAAGCATTACATTTCCACTTCGGTTATTACACTTAGAAATCACTGAAAATAACACCTGCCTTCTAGTTCTTGGAGTTTTTTTTCTTCCTTTATTTCCTTTAATTTTGGTCTTATAAAGAGTAAGGCGAGGAAATTAGGCCATCTGTGTATATATCAAGATTTGAAGTGGTGTGAATAAATAAATCTCTAATGCTTTATATATATCAGTAAGGTATGATAAGATTTCTCTTGCAATTTCTGTATTCAGGTATTGTTTTTACTTTTCATCCATCATACTAGCTTAGAAGAGTGATAAACTTCACTAACTTTTTTTCCCCTGTGCTTGTTCACTGCCAACACAGTACCTGTGACCTGCTCCTAAGAATAAGGGATTTATCTTTGATCCATTTTTAAATATCACACCAGCGTTTTAGATCATAGTAATGCAACCGAGGTGTTAAAAACAAACACCACCTCATTTCTATGTGTTATTTCTTTCTTGAGAGTACTTTTCATGAAATGAGCAACTGGAAGTTTTCATTTGGATAGAATCTCTCCTCTTTTTTGTCGTCAGTCTATAAACGACCAGGCTCTCTACACGTATTTTTACATAATTCCAAGACTGGCTGGAAATCAGAAAAGCTTAAGTGTCTGAAATTCTTTGTATGAGATGAATTTTCTTCATATACAAATACATTGTAGAATAGATGGCAAGGTTCTGATATATAAAGACAAAATGATTGGTAAATATGTTGGCAAAAACTGTCCAAGTGCTTCCCAGGTTTCAATGGCAGAGACATTGAAAACAAATATCATATAATTAGCAGGGTTTTGTGATCTTTATTGAGACTGAGGACATCACCACTCTTCCCTAGTAAGGGCTCTAGTGTTTACTCTTCCATGTCCTAAATTTGCTTAACTCCTTGAAGACTACCAGGGATCGTCCATCGCTGTTTTCTTTCTGTCACCCTGAATTTTGTAGCAGGCAACGGTTTCTTTTCTTGCCTTTACCTTTCTGGAGATTCTTCCATCCAAGTCTCCTGATCTTTCAGAGTTACTTGAAATAACCCTCAGCTGTTTTCCAGCCTAAAAGATATTCCAGGAGCTGACAGCTGAAAAAAGTGAGCCAGTTTAGAAATGTGGCTGAGAGATGGTGATGGTGTTTCAGGGTATCCAGTTATGAATCTGACATTCCCAGGGTAGAAACTATTCTACTTGTCTAATATTATATCAACAAGTATTGCAGCTGAAACCTTGAAACCCTAGAGTAACTTGCTGGTGTCCTGAGAGTACAGTGAAGATCTGTTATGCAGGATGGGAAGTACTCCTGAAGTCAGCCTCAGAGTTGCAATCTCCCCTTCATGTCCCTTTTCTCTTCACTAGTCTTTAAGTGGTCTTCTCCATTGGCTGCTCTGGCTTTGAGGAAGGAAGTTGCATTCACCAAAAAATGCCCCAAACCAAGGTGGATTCCCTTACCTGTTGTCGGTCCATGTAAAGAAGCTATTAATTAGACTTTCATTTGGGAACTTTTGTTTTTTCACAGCTTTAAAT